TAGGAAGGATAATAGTAGATTATACCACGAGTCAATAATGATAGCTATTATTCCCGAGGAATATTTACGAACTGAGCCGCGTTAGCGGCGAGGGAGTAACATTCCGAGGGAATAATAGCCATTATTGCGAGTAGTATACTCTACTTTATTTACGACAAATTAATTTATTTGAGATTTTCAATGAACAAATTTCATCCGTCTCATAATTTTCAATACAAATCCACAAGTACTACACGTTTGACACTGACACTTTTGTGGAATAATGACCATTAATCCCGCTACTCGTCATTAATCCCTGGAGGAATAACATATGTCATTATACTGCCAAAATCACAAATATAATACGCACATTATACATTAGTCGTAAATAAATATTATTATATGTAAGTATTTTTTTTTACTATTAAATTAGTTTATTTAAGGCCGCGTTAATGGCCGCCATGTTTAAATTTAGTTTTTGAAAATGACGACTGCGTCACTCTACACATACGGTTCAATATTGTATTATTTGTCCAAAACAAAATCTGTTTGTCGGTGAAACACTTAGTGACAGAGAAAGACAAATATACAATTATGATGCTCCCAATGTAGCTTTTTTGCCGTGGCGCCATCTATTTGAAATTGCTTGAACTGTTTTCACCTTCAAAATTTATTTTATGGTCATCTCAAAAAATCCGCAATAATTTCCAAAATCCTTTGGCATAAACATTATTTGATATATTATCTACAATCTCTACAATTAGCTTTTTTTAGTTTTTCGTGGTTCTCAATAAAATATGCTTTTCACGGATCTAAGCTTGATAAACATGCAAATATGCAACCACCAACACATTTAATTGTTTTGGTGGTTGCGCACATGATTTTTGAATTTAAAAAAAAAGGCTGATTATCGAAAAAGCGTGATAAGGAATTGTAGATAATCGATCAAATAATGTTTATGCCAAATTTGAGCCAACTCTGACGTGCCGTTTTTTTAAAGACCTTAAAACAAGTTTCGAAAAATCAACCAATCACAGTTTAAACATGGCGGCCATTAACGCGGCCTTAAAGCCAATACGACTATGTGACCCGAAAGAAAAAATCTAAATTATTGTTAGTCAGGTCCTGTCTCGTATCCCAAAATGGCCGCTAGTGACATCCCGACCATGAATTCCTTTATTACACGGGCTGTCGCTCGAGTTAGCTTGCTGATTGTTTTTGTATATGCTGTGTTTCAATTGTGTAGTTGCTCGTCCAAACAAATATTGATTAACTGTGATTTGACGCTTGGATTTGTAGCCCAACAATTCTGCTGTACTTTTCAAAATATAACTATTTTGAGAACCTGTACCCACTGGTGCTCATACGCTCCTGAACCCATACACTCCTTTAATGGTAGCCCGTAGAGTTTGTAGAAACATGAGGCTAGAAGTTCCCATCAGTACAAGTTAACATTTCCACCTAAATCTTGATTCGATTTTTTGACATCTGAGCGATCATCAACTTACTTGCCTCATGGCAAATTAGAACACATTAAAGTTACATGGGATTTACCACAAACAATACATTTCAAACGGGGTCGACATTTCCGGCTCTAGTGTCCAATCTTCAAACACCGAAAACACGCCTTTTTTGAAGTAACAATTTCATTCCTTTCTTCTAGTGAAAAATGTTGTGCTTCAAAACAACTGTGGCTATCATGATTGTTCTCAAAAAAAATGCATTTGTTTGAAACTAAAGGTCGTTGATGGTTAATAAGACCAGTTGCAGTGGGAACTTCCTGCTCAGAGAAACTTGTGACCTTTTTTCTTGCACCCACCATTCCATGAGCACCAGCAATTTTAGCATTGGCGTGTTTCTGCTTCGAGCCTGTAAGCAAACCAAAACTTTCAGTGGCCAGCAAAATTCCCTGTTCATTATCGACCTCGTTGGGCAAAAACTGCATTAGATTATTCAATCTAGTCATCGAAGAACCATTTACACTTTGTTGCGAACCGTTAGGATTAGTATTGGTTAGAGATGAACGTTGCCACACCCTTAACAAATTTTCTGGCAAACATGACTCAATAAGTGGGAATAACATTGCAGAATAACTATCAGATTTAACGCCCGGAGTGTCCAAAGCACGCATTTGAGTCTCTATGCTATCATACAATTTCACTAAATCCATTCTACCATTAGAAAGAGCATTGTTTACAAAGATTTTCAGTAGTTCACGTACATACACCTTTATCTGCAGATCATCCCTGCTAAAACGAGAAATCAAACAGTAAATAATTTCTTTATAATTTTTCCCAGCGCAAGGAAAACTTTCAACAAGTTGTCTTGCTCTGCTGCCTGGTAATGTAGTGAAACGGAGTGAAAGTTGCTTTTCTGTATACGTTTCAGAGTCTTTCCAACTAGAACAAACAGCACTACGTCTAAATAGGTATAGTTGATCTATTCTCAATTGAACCACCACAAAAAATAATTCTCCATCAACAGTCGGCGTTTTCTTTATGAAGCATAGGCGGCGAGGTTTCCAAAAATGTTTCATAATATAATAAATCAATATAATTTAGATATTATATAAATCACATAAAATTTAATTTATATCTATCATTATATTTGAGATACTTTGGAATACACATGCCCCAGTGCCGTTTAGGAGATGTTTTTTTAAAATTTCAAACAATTTTTTCATAAAAATATACACACGTATAAACCTGCCTCCACCTCTGACAAAAAGAACAAACTACTCTGAAAGTACACCGCCGGCGCCGCCCCGTCGCGTCGCCCAAGCTACCCCAAGCAAATAAACATGAAGAAATCTTTTCGAAATTTCTTTCCGACAACCAGTATTTCATTTTGTCGATTGTAGTTTCTAGTAGGAAATATTCAAAACATTTCTATAGGTTTTTTGAGTGTTTATTCACGCCAAACGTGCCTAATATTTGATCGTACCTTATACATAGCTTGAAAATAAAGTGGTTCAATTTAGAATAGATAAACTATACCGTTTTTCCACAAAAGAATGCAACCAAGTCCTGTCACGGTCGCCACTTTGTTGAGCCCCAGAAAAACTACCCGTCTTAATGGTATACATGGTAAAAACTAAAAATTGTGTTTTTGAAAAATTGAAATACATATTGTCGCCATTTTGTAAACAAATTAATTAAAATTCGGTGGTTTTGTATTAGCGACTATGGGCAATGACGTTAACAATTTTTTTCCAGGCCTTCTAGTTTTTTGTAATCATAGCTAACTTTGTTATTTCGTATGGCCGTCGTATTGTGTTTTTACGTCATTAATGGAGCATAAAAAGGGCTTTTAAACCATGTTTTACAGCCCTATCTTTGGATGACGGAAAATGTGAATGTATTAAAAAAACAGATTTTCACTTAGTTGGCTGTGAAACAACTGCCGTAATCGTGTTTTGTTATCACAGCTTTGCAACTGTGGATATTTTCAATTTCGATACAGCATCTGATTGGGCTCGGAATCTCGCAACTTTTTTCCCATTTAACCAAAATTGTATCTCTTACAAGTGTTCCAAAAAGACCTTCAACAACCTGGAAGAGGCAAATTTTAAATTTGAATTCGAAATCTTCCTCCACTAAAGCTCTTGTTTTTATTTTTGTTCCCAATTTTTTAATGCCGGGCTCTTGAGTTTTCTGTATATTTTCGTTTTGGAAGAAAACAAACATTCAAGATTCAAGAGCCGGGAATTAACAGAAGAGTTAAGCAAGAAATGAGAAATAATGAAGAAACCTTCGCCCTACAGGCTCGTGATTAAATAAACACACTTACTCATTAGTGCAAAAAAGTAAGATATATCAGCGTCTGTCGGGTATTACATCTAGGCGCACCCTCAACTTCACCCCACTTTTTGAGAGATTTCCATTTGTCAATTAATGCGCACTGAGCTTATCTGCATCTTTTTCTAGAAGCATGTAAAATATAGGGACGCACTGACCGCGCTCTCGCCCACCTTATTATTGTCGGAAATCCTTGACGCTATAAGACATAACATCTATGACGTAATTTCCTGGCGGTAAATTATAGCGTTTAAAATAAGTACAAATTTGTTAATTTTTTTTTAGGTATATTTTTGTCTTCTAAAATCAAAGAATCATCGACTACTATTTATTTTGTTATGGAGATTAATTAGAAAAATATTTCAAAAAATTGTCCACTACCCTATTGTCTCAATTATTAATTATTATACAGTGAGTTCACAAAGTCCCGCATAAATTCATTATTTTGAAAACGGTAGAATTTTCGAAAAATCGCTTACACACGTCAATTTTATTTTTTTGTTTGAAATTTTTCGATATATTTATCAAAAATAGCTTCGCTGATATCAACTTTATTTTTTTTAATAGTATTTTCTGTATTATGTGACATTTCTGGATTCTGCGGAAAATTCTATACATATTTCATGTGCAATGTCATATACCTATCTTCAACTGTTTCGGAAATATTGACAGTTGAAAATTGACTTTTTTGGATCTTTGACAGACTGTAAAACCTGAACGGTTGATTTTACAGCAAAACCGAGCAAACATTCCAAGGTTTACCAGCCTGTTGAAGTTGCAAAAAAGTCAATTTTCAACTGTCAATATTTCCAAAACAGTTGAAGATAAGTATATAACATTATACATGAAATATGTCTAGAATTTTCCGCAGAATCCAGAAATGTCATAATATACAAAGGGTATCATTTAAAAAAATAAAGTTGATACCAGCGAAGCTATTTTTGAGACACCCTGTATGATAAAAAATATATGGAAAAACTTCAAACAAAAAAACAAAATTGACGTGTCTGAGCGATTTTTCAAAAATTCTACCGTTTTCAAAATAATGAATTTATGCGGGACTATGAACTCACTGTATAATATGTTCCCAATAAGGCCGGTTGCGATTCAACAATCTATTTTTTTCAGGAGTCATTTACATCAACTCCCATGGCTTTCAGATTGGAACCTTTCGGGAACCTTATCACAAGGAAAGAAATCTAAATTTTCTTAGAAATCACTTACCAATACACAATGATCTCATCTCAGGAGGATTATAAGTGTTCAACAGAGTGGCCAACTTCCGAATCACTTCTAGCCAGTCTTTAGTCGCCAGCAGTAAACTTCTGGCGTCTTTGTTGTCCCTATAACCCCTGATGCAGTGCATGAGATCCGATAGAATTTGTAGAATTTCCAACATATCTCCAACGACGTGGCAAGCGGTGGCTTCATGCAACATGATGTGGAGATTTTGAAAACACTAACAAAAATATAATTTAGAAATATTTTTGTTTGAATAATTTCATTTGTACCTCAAATACTATCTGCAATCCTCCATTGTAAACTATATAGAGTTTCTCATCATTGGTATCAACAAGGATCCTAAATGCGTTGATTAATGTGCCCCAACTAGTTCTTCCATCCAAACACTGAAAGAAAAAATATTTAAAAAATTTGGTTGTTATAACAGGGGCAAAAAAAATTTTACCTGTAAGTACGTCATTAGGGTAGAACGTTTAAAAGTGTAAATTTCTCTTTGATCTGCTTCCGAAGCATCAGGATGTTTCATTACCATTATTTGCATTAATTTAAATAATTCTTCTACAGCCTATAATGTTTCTTTACATAAAATCTTATCTTGATTTATTCATAGGAGTCTTACCTGTGTGTATTGAGTAGGATGAGGTGTAATATTTTTAAAAGCCCACTGAAGATTTTGATGATTAGCCAAATTTCTAGTAAAAACTCTTGATTGCTGGCACATCATCCTCAATATTCCATAATAAGCCGGTAACATTGCTCTATTATATAAGACTATTTCTTGATCATCATGATCGGCCCTGCAAAAACAAATTCACTGAAAATGATCAAAAAAAAAAACACCCCATACTCACAATATATAGTTGAAAGCTATATTTTTGGTGACATGCGCATTGGCCAACATTAGTTGAACATTTTCAGGACAATCAGTACACACATGATTCCAAAAAGCCAACAGTGCTTGCTTATTGTGGTAGGCTGGGATGGATGGTTCTGAGAGCTTGGGATGGAACAAGTGCCACAATTGGAGAAAATATTGACCAAACTAATAGAAAAAGACTTTATAGAATTATGTTTATTCAATGACAATTGACTTGCCATTAATTTTTCTGTCCTAGAAATGCAACAGTACATTAAAAGTGCAAAATAGGTCGTGAGTTTCATAGAGCCATGTTGTTGTATGTCAGTGTAATGCTTAGCAGCTGGAAGCAATCTGAAATAGATGGAATGACTTTTCTCAGAAAATTTCCGTTGTAAGCATTTACCATTAGGTGAACTTATTTTTGACACTCTTGCTAATTGATGGCAGACAAGACAAATTTGATATTGCAATATAGATAATTTTTGGCAGCATTAAAACAGCTCTTCTAATTCCTAAGTGAAATGTTATCAGTTTTTGAGGAACACGACGTGGAAATCCTTGAAAAATATCTGTTTGTATTTTTATATCAAATTTGTCTTTCCATTGGTTGGTTATTAAAGAGACGACATTTTGACGATACATCATCACACACCTGTAGTGAATTACACTATTTTCACATTAACAGATTACCTTAAAAGGGCAGTATACACTTGGTGCAAAACTGCTTGAGCTTCATTGGACAATTGAGGTTCTCTGTTCATTCTATGGGAAGCTCTGAAGCCTTGTCTAAAAGGAGTGCTAGGAACTAATGAGACTAGAAGGTAACCGGCAGCTAAGATCAAGAAATGTTAATATAGTTTTCACCAGTTTTTTTTTTGGAACTCAACTACTCACTGTTCCTCACACGTTGATTACTATGAGCAATCAAAAAATGTTCCAACCACGAATCCATTGAGGTTAAAACCCAAGAATGCACCAACCTAGACACAATCAATAAATTATATGAACTATTTAAATAAATAAAGTCTCGTACCTGTTTCTTGTGACTTGTAAAGCTAACCAGTCCAGCGCAGAATGTGGACAACACTCAGCAGCCTCCCACACCTTTTGTAGCACCAACTGAGTGAAGCACGGCTGATTGGAACCGCTGGCGCTGCTCTGGTTCGAGTTTTCCGTCAACAGCGTGAGGATTTTAAAGAAGGGTTGACAACCCTGTAAGTTGACCTAAAGGGTATTCAGCGCATAAAGAATTCGTGACGAAGAATTTCCAATAAAACTTTGCAAAATCGATCACTTACCTCTGAATGCCTGGTTATTGCTTGCGAAATCATACAGATTATGCTTTGGGCTAGCTGATTGTTACCCTTGCAAAGGGAATGAATTAAGTTTCGTGTTTGTTGCAGGTTTATGTTATCTTTGATTTGCTGGTACAAAAATGAAAAGCCCTAAAACACAATTTTGAAAAAAAGAAATTAAAACTGGATAGTCTAGCTTACTTTTCCTCCTGCAACAGCATTATAATCCCTTTCGCTAAGTTGCAATTTCATATTAGAATTCCGACTTTTCTCCACTAAACTAGCTATTAGCGTTATCATTTTATCTAAACTAGCAGGTTTATATTTATCGGGAGGTATTGAAACCATTTCTTCGTCTTCTTCGCCTTCACTAACATCAACCTACAAAAAAAAAATACTTTATATTTTAAAGCCCTGTCGATTGTTAATTATCTACATACAAAATCATTTGCTTTTTGGCCCAAGTAAAAATGAACCATTGAATTGATTGCTCCAACTGCTAATAAAAATTGTGACTCTTCTTCACCCATTTTACTGAATTCATACAAAAAATTAAAATATTCAGTCAGGTGCTTTAAATGGGCTTTAGCCCCGTGCTCCATCTAAAATATGATTATTGAACAATTATTCCACAAATTGGCGATGCACTTACTAATGACAAGAGCGTCTTTATAAATTTAGTTACACATGAAGAATTTCCTATCTTACAAATATCAATATTTTGACTGTAGTCCATTTTTGACAAGTCAACCTCATCGTCGAGCCTTAAGTACAAACTAGAATGAGACTGCCTGGAAATAAATTCAATGAAAAAAAATTATATTTATACAAAATGTTTTATTACTTGAGCCTCTGTATCACATGTATACACAGCCTTTGAAACATTTGCCTGACCATTTGATTAGGACATTTTAAAAGTACTTGCACTGGCCACCATACGTCCTGCGCCATATGTTCAAGAAACCACACGCAAGCGTCATGACAGGCGTTGAACTGTTTGGTTACTAGTTCCACCCATTGAACCATTGTAGGCTAAAAAGCAATTATTTGATGGTCGTTGGGTTTAACAGTATAAAGATGCTTACTTTTTCTTTGGCATGAATAAAAGTCTCAATGAAAAACGAAGTGGACAGTTGAGCTGCTTTTTGAGTTATGTTGGGCTGAATTGGCAGCAGGGTTTGAGGAATGTAACCGCAAATTTGCCACATGAAACTAAAAAAAAAAATTTGATAGTAAATTTTTATTTGTTGGAATATTTTGTTGTTGGAGGACTGAAAAATGTACAGGGTCTTTTCCCATATATTGACCCCCCCACTACAGGGATTATAAGAAGAGATATCAAAAAATTGTAAATACAATAGTTTTGGGGTTTTCCCTGAAACTTTTGAATCTGATGTCATTGTTTTTTATAAATGTCAATTTTTGACAGATGATCAGTTTTTTCTTATAGAACACCCCATATATTACTTCATAGTTGAAAAGAGTCGAATATTCTGATTTCAAATATATATGGTTCAACTAAATACTTCTAATTAAGCAGTTTTGGAAATATCAGGCTCTAAACTTTACAAAAAATACATTGAAACAATGTCGGGGAAGTTTTTATTTATTATTTAATTTACAATAGTAAGCGGGTAGAAACCTGATGAAACTATTGATTTAATTACAGTTCCGTTTTCTTAAATATTAATCTTTGTTTTTTTTTTATACCGGGTGGTCCTCCGGGAATGACATCGATTGCTTATGGGAAAACTGTGAAAGGTAAAAATTTGAAAATTTGGCAACATAGCAATGTCGATGGGGGACATCCAGGTAAAATATTTTCAAGATGGCGGCATTTCCGGTCATACCGGAAGTTGATACCAACTCGGTTATTTTAAATAGAACACCCCATATATTAATGTATTTTTGGATTCTACATAAAATTCTGAGCAGATTTCATGTAATATACCCTATACCTAAGTTCAACTGTTTTGGAAATATTGACAGTTGAAAATTGACTTTTTGCAACTTTGACAAGCTGTAAAACCTAATTGGTTAATTTTAGAGGAAAACCGATTTCACATTCCTATCTTAGATTTTGATAAACTATCATTTGACACCAACTTTGAACTTAAACGGAGATTAAATTTAACTGAAATTTTTAATCATGGATTTAATTCAAAGTTGATGTCAAATGATAGTTTATAAAAATCTAAGATAGGAATGTCAAATCGGGTTTCCTCTAAAATTAATTGTTCAGGTTTTACAGCCTGTCAAAGTTGCAAAAAGTCAATTTTCAACTGTCAATATTTCCAAAACAGTTGAACTTAGGTATAGGGTATATTACATGAAATCTGCTCAGAATTTTATGTAGAATCCAAAAATACATTAATATATGGGGTGTTCTATTTAAAATAACCGAGTTGGTATCAACTTCCGGTATGACCGGAAATGCCGCCATCTTGAAAATATTTTACCTGGATGTCCCCCATCGACATTGCTATGTTGCCAAATTTTCAAATTTTTACCTTTCACAGTTTTCCCATAAGCAATCGATGTCATTCCCGGAGGACCACCCGGTATACAGGGTGTATATTTTAAGTGATACCACTATTGCTATATCTTAAACGGTAAGAGCTACAAGGATGGTTAAATTAGAAAAAAGTTGCCTTTTTTGATGCCCATTCTAGGCTTGTTTACAGTGTTGCCAAATTCCTTCTTGTTTACGAAATACAGGGCGATTTCTAAAAAGCGCCTAAAATTATTTCATCAATTATTTCGAAAATTATTGATATTTGAGACACAATCTAAATTTGAAAGTTTTTTAATTTTTTTTGCTCTACACATGGCATCTTCAAATTTTAAATCCGACGTTTCGTGATCGAGCTACCATCATCAACTTAATTTTTTTAAATACGGACCTGAACTTTTTATGTCATTTTTATGACGGGTAAGAAGGGCGCTTTCTGATAATGACATAAATAATTCCAGTCCGTATTTAAAAAAATTAAGTTGATGATGGTAGTTTGATCACGAAACGTCGGATTCAAAATTTGAAGATGCCATGTTGTAGAGCGAAAAAAATTATAAAATTTTTAAATTTGAATTGTGTCTCGGAAATGAATAGTTTTCGAAATAGTTAATGAAATATTTTTTGGCGTTTTTTGGAAACCACCCTGTATTTCATAAACTAGGAGGAATTTGGCAACACTGTAAACGAGTCGTAAATGGGCATCAAAAAAGGCAACTTTTTTCTAATTTAACCGCCCTTGTATCTCTTACCGTTTCGGATATAGCAATAGTGGTATCACTTAAAATATACACCCTGTATATTGAGTTGTAACTTTTTTTTTTTGTTGACCAATTTCCTTTTGTTTTGGCTTGTTTGAAAGAGAAATGAACAGGCTAACGAATCAAAGTAAAACTTTTGACATTTGAAAAAAAATCAAAATGGCGGACTTCTTTAAAAGTTGCCTAGTTTTGGATAGCGCTGGAACTTTTTTGTGACACCCTGTATAACTTTTTTCAATACATTCTTAAAGTTCATCATTTTGCGAACATTTTAAGACCTAAAACTAACTGAAATATTGAAATTTTTGTAATATCGAATTTCAATTTTCTCATCGCGCTGGAATGATCTCGGAAAGAGGTCTTGATGAGGTAAATTAGGGTATTTGCCTTTTTGACTATCTGGGATATGTGCTGTTCCCATCTCAAACTATCTGTTATATTGACAGCCAAATCCTTCTCGTTTAACTTTGGTGACCTTTGTTTGATCAAGGACATATATGTAAGTGTTGGGTTGTTTTGGTCTATTTGAAAAATGGTGCACTTTGTGCTGTTAAGAGGAAGTCACTCAGGTAAACGATGAACAGCAGGGGTCCCAGAACTGAGCCCTACGGCACACCACTGAAAATACTGAGCTTCTCCGAAACTGCCGAACCCACTCGTACCTGAAATGTTCGAGCCCGAAGGAAGCTGCTGATGAACCGCAGAAGCTGTCTAACACCGTAGTGCTGAAGTTTGTAGATGAGCAGACTGATAGCGATCTTGTCAAAAGCCTTCTGGAAGTGCAAGTACATCTATGGGCTATTGGTTATCATCAGCATAGGTCCATTTCTGCAGTCTGGTCAAAAGATTTGTTATGGTAGACCTCCTAGGAAAGAAGCCATGCTGTTCATTAGGGATGATATGGATATCCAGGAAGAAGGTTATTTGTGCTCCTACTAGTATTTTCTCCATGTATTTGCAGATGACTATTTGAACTGACTGGCCTGTAGTTCTCAAATAGCTGTTTGTTGCCTTTCTTAAATATTGGAACAACGATAGCCTTCCTTCAGATCTCAGGAAAATGTCCTGTGCGAAATAAGTCAATCATTGCCTCCGATAATGGCTTACGTAGTGTCTCTTTACACCGTGACAGAAATACTGCAGGAATTTGATCCGGTCCAGGGCTGGTGTCGGTCTTGAGGGAACCCATGACGGCCATCACTTTTTCAGGTGTAAACGTTATTTCTGATATTTCTATCTGTGAATAGGTGTAGTGTCAGTACTGAGAGGTTTCACATAAACACTTTGAACTGTGCAGTGAAGGACCTGGCCACATCCTCTTGTGTGTCAATTATAATATTAGTATTTTTGTCATTGATTTTTGTCGATTAGGCTGAAACTGACGTGTTTGGAATTGCATAAAAATGTTTGTCGTGCTCATCTAGAAAGTTGTGCTCATAGCTTTTTCGTGTCTCTGAGATGTAGTATTTTGTTCTGTTGTTCTGAATACGGTACAGATAATAGCTTTCTTCTGTTTGATTTTTCCTGTACTTGTGCCATAGATCTCTTTTCTTGATTTTCTGAACACCCCTTTGTTCAACCAGGGCTTTTGAGTATTTGTTTTTTGGACTTTAGGGGGATGAAGTGGTCTATAGTTATATGGAGGGCAGCTTCTAGGTTGTTGTAGTTTAATGGTGCTCCTTGGGATAGTTGATGTTGCAGAAAGGTATTTATTTCTTCGTAGTCAGCATGCCAGAAATCGCGTTTGTAGACCTTGTGGGTTGGTTTAATTGGGAGTTGCAATTGAGCTCTGGCTGTTATTACTACATGGTCGCTGCGGCCCAAGGGTGCATGCTCTTGGATATCAAAAATGTTTTTATGATCATTGACGATCGTAAGGTAGGGATAGTTGCTGATTTCTTATCCTAGTGGGGAAGTTGATTAGTTGCCTGTCTCTGTGTGACTTACAGCCTTCCAAAAAGTCTAGGCTACATTGATCACGGGGGTTGACAGTAAGGGTGTCCCAGTCAATTTCCAGGTAGTTGAAGTCCCCAAAGATAAATACGGGCTTTATTGATGACATGGCTCATCTCTCTATTACTTGTAGGAGTTGGTGATTTTGCTCAATTGAGGTGTGTTGTTTGGGTCTGTAGATGCAGGCTAAAGTGAATGTTATATTTCTTATAGAGACATCAAGCCATATTGATTCCACGGCTCCTGATGAAGTCGCTATTGCTTATCACTTTCACTGCATGTCCCGCTATTGTATTCCTGACATAGATACAGACCCCACCTCCACTGGAACCCCTGTCCTGTCTAAACTGTGTGTATCCTGTGGGCCCGGATCTCGACAATCGATCTCCATTGAAATTGATCGAAAAACTCGATAGTCGACTTGAAATGCATCACGCTACTCGAATTATCGACTCGATTCTATTGAATTTTCTCGACTGGTTCTAAGCTATCGAGTAATCATTTTTTTCGGTTATATGTATATTTTATTGCAATTTTTCACAGTTTGTCTGTTTGAGGTGATTAGTTAATTATTTATTAATAAAAAATATGCTGCCGATTGTGCGTGACAGAAAGATTTGGATGAAAAGCAGGCCTGGAAATGCCTTTTTGCTTCGGAGAATACAGAGTTGAGAGGTGTAGAAATAGATTCAAAGAAATACCCCGTCTAGGTGAAAACTGCATTCTTTTTCCAGCTTATTTGTTAACATAGCTGCTTGACATTAGATACCACTAGGTTTTCCCATTTTTCATTTTTCTCTTAAATTGGCTTTGACTGCAGGGCCTGTATTATACCTCCGCCAGAAACCATCTCTGAATTTCTTTCCAGCCAATCTAAAATTGCGCGTTTCGTGTTGTGCCCATGAACCGGACTCTACGATGTATGATTTTTAGACGAGTTGGAATGAACCTTTCACATTCGTAATAAACAGAGATGCTGAATATCA